GTTCTTTAGAAGGTGACAAAGACAAATATCTCCTGTGCAAAAACCTTCCGAAGCTTTCAGAAGTGTCGCTCACCTCGAACTTGCTTCGATTTTGCTACTAAATTGAATTGAGTTGCTTTTAGAAAGCGACCATCCTCTGCATTGAAAGTTACCAGCGCTGCCGCATAAAAGCACTGCTTCTCGGCATGAGCAGCTTTTAATCTCTCTTGAAATTACAGTTTCTTTTAGAGGTTGGATGAAGCTTTATTACAAAATGTAATTACAATTACCATTGTTTTCTCATGTCACCTCACTTATATTGATTTATTTTCATATAAGATGAAAAGTAATTTTATAGTGAAATAATTCAACGAAGTGAATCGTTGTCTTTTAATTCGAATTCCTTTCATCCACTCTTTTTATATTGAATGAATGAGTATTAAAGGTAGTATACACATATCAGTTTAGAAATTCTAACATATTAAGTCATAAAAGTTTATGCAAACATTCACGAAACAGAACCGAGGCCGTAAAATGGTCAGGTAACGCCACCTCCCGCGTTGCCATCGCATGCCACATCCTGTAAAAACATGAGAAACCTGTCTCTCGTTACGAGCGTCTCCATTGTGCGTGCTCCAATTACAACCAACCAACAAGCGCATACTCTGCCTGCTCAGGAACACAATGGGCATAATTTTCCTCTCATTTTATAGTGCTTAACCATTCAGTACACTCGTGTACGCGAGTGCTTGTAGGCATGTTTCAATTGTTCAAATCTTTACAGTGATTTCTATTGATTATTTCGGAAACAAAGTCAATGCATTTGAGTATAACCGATTAGTTGGGGTCGCTAACTGTGAAACAACATGAATTATTTCCCCATTCAAAAGGACAGTCGTGTGAACTCCAATGAAGCATTTTCATTATGGCACTGGAGCAAACTTATGAACATTTCCACTACTTTATTCAAATAATGTATAATAAAGTGAAGCTCATCAATGAAGATATAGCACAAAAAATTGGATTCATAATCGGTCAAAGAAATTCTTATTTGTTCGTGTTAATTTAGATAAAAACGAATAAAATGTTAATTTAGCATTGAAATGTGGAGTATAATGAATCGTCGGTGAAAGTTTTTCAAAATTCACACAAGTTCTCACAAATTCCAGCGATTGACCCTCTCAGCGTAAGTTAATTAAGGACCGAGGCGCGACATGTGTGGTGTGGGCGTGAAGGGCGTTTCGGAGGGCGCGTGCGGGAAGAAGGGCGCGGCGCCCGGGGGTGTCGCGGGGCTGCCGTCGCCGGGTATCGATCTCGCGACGCGCGAATGCGGCGGCGCTCCTGCGTGGTGCGGCCTTCCGGCTCGACCGCCCCCGCACCCCTCCGCGCCGTCCTGTCATCCCACTCCTGCCTTCACCAACGGCCCATTCACAACGCAAACAACAGAAGCATAACGCGTAGACGTAAACATTAACATAAGTGATACGCTCTAGTATTCGCAATGTCTAACATAAACGTAAGCAAAATAAGAGTTTCTATTGGCTGATACATTCTGGTTTACTATTGGTTGGATGTGGCAATCGATTTCGAGGTATCGACTATGTTCACGGACCATATGGCGTTAGTTCGTCTATCGACTTCGCTCATATTTCCATTCTCGATTTTGAGTTACCGTACTGTGATTGGTTCATTTCTTATGTCTTACTTCAGCATAAGCACTGAAGCTTAAAGCTTGGAAGCTTTTAAGTTAACGTCTTTCGCGATATGCTCATGCGAACGCATTGTGAATGAGTCCGCTTCTGGACGTAGTCCAAACATTCATGTTAACTTTACGCTTATGTTTATGCTTGCATTGGGAATGGGCCTTAAGCGTTCTCGCAATTCACCCCTGCTTTCCATCCCCGCACGCCCCGGCCCCTGCGCCCCGGCCCCGCGCCGCCCCCAAGTACCCACGAGAGCCCTCTTCAGCACTGCGGCGCCTGACGGCCGCCCCCTCTGCAACGCGCCCCTTGCACGCCACCCGCACGCAGCGCCCCTCGGCTGGCATACCTTTATCGACAGGACGCACAAAACGTTAAGCGATATAAATACAATAAATTCCCTTGTATACATACAAGTGTATGAATGTGTATACAGCAGGATGAATGGGATTTTCGAGAACCCATCACTCACTCTCGCGCAACAAAATTTCTTGTTTAATGGAGAGCGGCATCTGAAATCATTCAATTTAGTGTTGCTCAGATGGAACCATGATGGAAACACGAAGTTTACGTCACGAAGGAAGAACTACATAAAAAAGTAGAGATTCTCCTAATAAATTGTTTCCACTTTATTATAAAAACATGTGTTGAAGCGGTAGTGTCTTTGGGGACTCTTCAATGTAAGAAAATGGATAGTGAACGTAGATGTTGTTTACTTGTGTTATCTCTCGCCTCCAATTTTTTTATGATGTATATGATAAACATTATGTGAACAGTGTAATCCTCTAAACGTCTCTTACTTGGATGAAAAATCAAAAATATTTTCTAGCCAGAAAGAGACAATCATTGTATTCAAACTAACATTCTCGTCTCGTACAGAAATAATGTGAATCAATGTTCATTGCTCTGCGTGACATTGTTCCCCGCGTTATGCTACATTTTTAGGCACATTTGTGGTGAACTCATTATAGAATAAAAATGTATGGCTTTCCAGAGAAAATATCGTTTTCTCGCATCAATTACTCATCTGCAAAGCACGTAATCAAAAGTATGACAATGTGAAAAGTTTGGCATGGTTTCTGCTACACACCAACAGTTTCTCACTCATATATTTCATTATGTGCGAAAACCAGTTATGTAAAATTAATTGAAAGTTCGCGTGAAATTATTAAGATATATATTTTTTAATCACAAGAGCAACAAGAAACTGCATATTTTTTTCTTATTGCTTCACAAATCCAGAGTAATACGTACAAAGTTGTATTTTTTTAAATTTTTACTAATCATATTCATATTGTGAAATTGAATAGACTGAAAGCACCAATACCTCTTATGCACCTTCTGAACTTTTGTAATATTCTCAGAAATCAAATGAAACCCTGATATTCGGAAGCGAGAAGTCAACGAACTGGATCGAACACGGGAAGGTCGAGGCCGCGAGTGCAACGGATGAGCGGAAGGATAACGACAGGAAATTGAATAACAGGCAGCCGGATGCGGAAGTGTGCGACAGCAAAGGCGCAATGCGTCTGCAAATTAACTGTTGACGTCCGAAAAGGCCTCACCTCGCAAGTGGCAATATCGCTTTTCTGTTTCCTCTAAGCTACAAGGTTCATTTTTTTTCGATGAAACCGCGAGTGAAATCGCTGTTTGTGAATGACGTCATGAATATTTACGATGAAATTAATAATACAAATACTTTTGGAGGAATTGTGAAAGAGAGACATGAAAATAGGAGAAAAATCGTTTAAACCACGTACATCCATTTGTCCATAAATTCCACAAAGATTTATTGCGATTTGTACCTCTAGGTTGTCCCGCCTACGTACCAGCTTAGTTTTTCTTATCGTTGGGTTTCGTACGTGTGTATGATGTTCGAATACACGATTTCTAGTACTCTGTCTTTAGCTTCTAGGCTAGTCATTCAGTTTCTCTAGGGGCATAGGCAAGAGAAACCCAACTTTGGGAAAACTTCAAGAAGTCCTTTACACGGTGAAGTTGATGTAGTATTACACAATGCAGCAATATAATATGATACATGATAGCACAATGTATGTTACTACATAGTTTAGTGAGCATTGGGCATACGACTTAAACCACAGACCGGGCATTTGATGAGTACGATACTCACTATACAATTAAAATTTATTTCCGAAGAAAAATGTAATGATTTCCATGATTTTGTGATAAGAATTAATATTTGGTTAGACATTCATAAACATTCAATGTACGGGAAATCCGCCCGCACTTCAGATTCACTTTAAATTTAAAGCACCGAAAATTAGTAGTGCTCCATGGAAGATTAGTAAATGCTACTGAGCAATTATAAAATGTATGTAAATGGAAAATTTTATTCTTGGCATGGCTAAGATAAGTTGGGGTATTAGTATCTTTGTTGATGGTTAGTCTTTGGAAGGTTTCACGTGCACAAACAATGGATTGATCACTGTTGGAAATAGCGCGATCAGACATTTCTTATCGTCATAGGAATGTTAATATTCAAACACGATAGCCTACTATTGTATTGGAAACGCTATGCGTTTATCTTCTGTAAACTTCATAATTTATGATAAAAAGATACTTACTACAATAGGCTTCATCTTAACTCGTATTCTTTCAAATCATAATTGGCACGTGTGACGTATGTGTAACTGTTTTGTCTACTTAGAAGTATCTTGATATTCGTTGTAATTGGCTTAACAGCAGCTAGCACGACCACTATGAGAACTCCTTCCTTATTCCTGCGGGCGCCCATTAAGGATTCTTCGCACATGAAAAACACAATGTGAGCGCCCCTCCCTCTTGTCGTCACGCACGCGGCTGGGGCTTGGCCGGCGGTGCATGCAGTCTCGCCATGTACCGATAGTTTCGTCATTTGCATTCACTAAGTTCTTGAGGAGTGAGTGACAAGAGTGAGTGAGAGATAGAGAAAGAAAGAGACAGAGAGAAGAGAGAGAGAGAGAGAGGCAGACAAACAGACAGAGCGAATGAGAAAGATTTGTAACATACTTCTGCTGGCAGCCGTAGCATTTGTAAATCGAACCAAATGCGAATAAAAATTCCTTAATAATCTTCAAACGATAAAACTCTCACTTGTGTGTTCTCACAATACCATTAATCTTACCTTCACCTCTAACGTAACCACATGTAGCCAACACAATATTGCTCTTCATAGTGCTTAATCAATTGCCCGACGAAAATAAGGTAGTTTATTGAACATGTATTTAAATGAATATTTCACTGTTAATCATGTAATTTGAATATTTTATAATCCAACAAGCTACAGGAAATATATTAATTTTGTTTTCTTTTTTGTTACAGGTAAGTTTCTCCCTGATTTTGAATAGTGAATTCCTTGAAGAAATTCGAATTATCTGCTGCAGAAAAGTACGTATTGTTGTTTTTTCTAAATAGTAAAAAATGCCGACGAAATTTAGAACACATTTAGCGGAGGATAGTAGCGACTGAAAGATTCGAATATATCTTTATTTTTGCTGGTACGATATTGTTTGTTTTTGCCTTTCATATGTAGCTCGATATTCACTACGTAACTTGGACCTGGACTGAGAGGATTGTGAGGACGAGGGAAATATTTGGGGGATTTGCGGCGGCGATGGTGTAACGGTTAGCGTACTGGACTGTTGTACCCAAGTTGGCGGGTTCAAACCCGATCGAAGCCGTGGATTTTTAAGGGCGAAAAAATCCTTCGTACGCCTTCCTTCGGAGGGGAAGTAAAAGCCGGCTGTCCCATGTTCGTAGATTTACTTGCATGTAAAAGATCCTCAAGCCTAAATGACGCCTCTGAGCTAAATTCAAATCGCCTGTTTCTCGCCCAAGAAATACCTCCTTTCTCTCCTAGTTGGTGAAAGGAGCGTAGCGAAATTTGCGTGGTCAGACGGAAGAGCGGGCCTGATGGCCCGAGTCTCGCCACGTAAAATAAGGCAAATTCAATTCAATTCAATTCAAAATATGGAAAGAGTTAAATGATGCTATGTGTTCTCTTACGGGGGGAATTATGGAAGGGAATTATAGGAGGAAAATATGAAATGACAAACCGAGTCAAGATGACAACTAGTTAACTAACAAATGAGTAAATAGGAATAATTAAAATTATTTAAAAATTAAAATCCTGTACCGCGGACGATAACTGGATCTAATGATCGTGGGGCGACAAAAAGTCCGAGAGCCTTTGGCCTTCGGGCTTTTTGACGCCGCTCGACCAGTAGAACCCTTGCTATGTCCATGTTGCATAAATGACTATTTTAGAGGAATACTCCACTTCGGACCTGCGCTTTGCAACCCTCCTCCTCTTTCTCGGATGCAAGGCCGATCTCCAAATGGTGCGGTGCGGTGCACTCCGCCCTCTCAAAAGCGTTCCAGGAAAACGACCACGCGGATACAATGGGGATTAAACTCCACGAGCCCCTGACGCCCAATTGTGCATTATTAAAGGCCGAAGTGAAGAGGCGGCGTGCTTGTCTGAGAGCAGGTTTGTCGAGTAAGGACAAGGCTCTAAAACAAAACGAAATATGATTCTAGTTCCCAAAGCCGATTCCGCGAACCTCCACGTCTCGCATCGCTCTACGGCCTGCAAATTGCAGTGTGTGCAGAGCAATTGTGTCCGTAGTGCACCGAAACCAATGTGCAGGCGGAAGATTGTCTGTCCAAGGCTGCGCACACGCCATGAAAATGCCTGGGATGCGTATTATTTCAGGGAAGGTTAGCCACGTTCTCCAGTAAGCTTATTTTACGAGTTTAACCTTCGGTACGTAATCTGTGCTTAACGGTGAGCACAAATGTATATACATAATGCAATTGCTGTATAGTTTTTTCCATGAGATAAAGTTTTTAACATATAATTTTATGACACTTTCGTCTTCAAAGATGGCAGATTTTTGACACTAGCTGTTGGGTGGGAAAATGCTGATTTCTTTAAGAGAATTATAACGTTAGTTTCTTCTCAAATATGAATGCATTCTGGTTCAAAATTCCATTTTTTCATGTGTACAGCCATGTCAAATCTTTTACTGTTTAATATTATCGATAGAAGTATTTTCCAATTTTTATGAATATCTAAACATATTTATTAACTTTAGAGGCCTTTCATTTCTGATTTGTACGATTACTCAATTATTAATAACTAGGACTCTTGCATCGTTTTGAATATCCTTGTTTGTACTTGTCTTGGCCGCTGTTGTATACTTCACATCATCCCAATTTTTTCTCCCCTTAAAGCATAAAAAGGAGTAAACCTCGGAATGAGAATCGCGCGAGAGAACCAAAGTCGAAGACACAAAATCACTCTACCCTTCACTGGCATCATATTCTGCGTATACCGCTTTAAAGCCCAGTGGCGTAGTTGGGTGGGGTGGAGTTGGAGGGGGGGGGGCAATCCGCCTTAGGCCATTTTAGGGGTGACACTAATGAGAACATTTTATATTTGGAATTATATAATTTTAATATTCTATTTAAAAATTATTTATTTAATATAGTTATATATTTAAATCATAAATACTATGAAAGCAAAGAAAAGAAGTAATGTAAACTAAAAACATGCATTTGTTAATTAGTTATACTTCGTTTTATATAATTTACTTAAAACCTATATATTTGCATTTTTATTAAATAATTGTAATAAACTATTCGTAATCTACTCGTATATTATTTACTTTATGGCGGGGGGGGGGGGGGGCTCTAACTGAAGCTTCGCCACTGTTAAATCCACTTCCGCGTGCCGTTCTAAAACCCAAGCCCTCCTCGCCCGAAGCGCATTTCCCGCGCTGCCTCCGTGCAGCGGCGCCGCGCCTGGGCCGAAGCGAGGAAGCAGGGCTATTACACGCTACCGGCCTCGCCGAGTGCGCCGGGTGCGGCGGCCGCCTCATGCAAATGCCGCTCCGCGTTAACGCCCGGCGGACGCGTCGGCGCGACGCGGCGCTCGCGAAATTAATGAGTTCCGCGCGACGCGGACCCAGCATCACGAACAGGCCGCGGAGCAATAAAATTCACGTCAGGAGGGGTTTGTTCGGATGTGGTTTCATGCATGTGCTAATGATTTCAAACACGCTTGATGTGTTTTATGCAGTTTATTTCGTTTATAGACGTAATGAGTTTTGATTATGTGTATTTATTAAAATGATGAGGGTAATGTAATTTTATTCTTCTAATGTTAAATTTCTATTGGGAAATTGACAAAATTATAATAGGCTTTCATGAACAATATTATGAAAAGGTGAAAGATTATTTGTTATCATATCAGATTCGAAGTCGCTTCCTTATTCAAAGAGAACCACAAGGTTAAGATATAGTATCCCTGCTTTACATGGGCTTTGAATTCCCTAACTCAGAAATGTTGCTGCTGTAGCCGTCTGCGCGCGTTCCAAAGGTCATTCTCGCTAATGCACTGCTTTCAGGCGTCTGCTTGAAGGATGGCGAGAATAATCAAAAACTAAAAAATGCATTCTCGAAAACAACGAAATTTGCGTTTAAAAATGTAAATATTAATGTAATTGCTACTAGGTAATGACTGGGTGAGTCAAGAGATACGGATTACATCACGGGCTTGGAATTTATGAGTAAATAATAAACATTTAAGGTGCAACATAGTAAAATATGATTAGGTTTACTACTAATGAAAAAAATGAAGAGTCTGAGGTGACGACGTTACGAAATTATGAGCCCACTGAGCTAATTTCACGAGTGAATAAAATCTGTTTACTCTCATGGGACATAATTTATTTAATCCATACTTCTATATAAATGAAAGTGAAAATGTAAATAAATATTGTATAATGCTAAACTAGATCATATCTATCGTTGTTTTAATAAGATAGTCAAGTTCATGTAAACAAATTGACACACAATTCCATAAATTCTATTGTCAGAAAAATTAATTTTTCAACAGTAAAATTTTGTAGCTTTCAATTTCTTCTGGGAATAGAAGATAACTGCAGCCGAGGAAAGAACTGAACTCCTTTCAATTTTTCAAGGCAACGTTAACTTACCCAGCACTGCTGGTCAACAGCCATCTGAGGTCAGCCCCACGCGTCACCGGAGAAAGCAGGCGAGGCGGGCCCTTCTCGGCACGCGCGTCACGTTCGGAAGGCAGGTCCGCCGGCGCGGGCGGCAGACGAGCCCAAGTAGAGCCCCGCGGCGGCACTCGCCGCCCACAGGCGCCCCCCCCCCGCGCGCGATTTAATTTATTCACGGCAGGCGCGCTGCGGAGGCACGTCGCGTCGCCCGCCGAGGCCCGCCGACCGTTACGCACGTTGGCCCAACGACGCGCTCGGCGAGGGAACAAACGGAATATAAACAATTATGATTCGGGCCAACAGAATATGAGCGAGGGGGAAAATCACAGAGACAGGATGAAGAGATTTTGGTAAGAGAATAAGCAAAAGAGGCGACTAAATCGGCTGCTTCTTCTACATCAGCCGACGTTTCATGAAGTTTAAGTGAGCAAAGCTATAAAAGAAAGGAAGAAACAAACAAACCTAGAACGCAAGGAAGGAATAATAATAATAATAATAATAATAATAATAATAATAATAATAATAATAATAATAATTTAGAAAGTCAGAACACACCTGTAAATTAACACAAACCAAAATCTGTCATGAAACTAACAGGATTCAAAGGAAATGTTTTCAAAACAGGGAGAGGTTTAGAAGTAAAACACCAAAGATCCTGCACGTGGAAAAATTGATCAAGAGAAAGTGCTAAACGTAAAGAGGGGAAACTGTGGAGTGAAGAAAGAAACGAAGCGCACAGCAAAAGAAAGAAGGAAATGTGGAGGCGGAGGATCGCAAAAACACGCCACACACAAGTAATTCACGTAATTTCAATTTGGGATATTAGCGCACAGAGAAAAAACAAATAAAATATTGGAATAACAACAATGAAATTAAATTGTTAAATATACCGACACAAACATTGTACATCATCGTCTAGAAAATTTTGGAAATAACGAATAAACTTGGCTTCTGCTTTTGTGAAATGATAAATCTATAAAAGAAGAATGGCCATTCTTAGTAAACTCACGTAAAAAGAGGCCAGTAAAAACTGTTGAAATATTTTGTTATACCTTCGCTCTGTATGTAAATATTTCAAATTACAGTCGCATTACAGATTATAGGAACCTTGAAACAAAATTCTACAATGGAACTTACTCGTCATATTTCTTTATATACTTATTGTCTTTTAAGGACAATTTTTTGTTAGTGAGAGGCTTGCTTGAAAAAAAAATGCTACTTCGTTTTGGGCTCACATTGGATCACTGTGTGCCGCGCACCGTCAGACATGTCGATAGACTTGTCGGCGCGGTTCAAGCTCGAGTAGCGGATGTCGCCTCCGCCAGACACGTTGGTAGCGGCATTCGTTCGTTTGATTTTTTTTTTTTTGAAGTATTAGTACATTTATTACGCAGACTTTTATTGGTGGACAATATAAAATATATTCTGTATTTTTAGGGTAAATGAATATATAAAGTTAATTAAACAGTTTTATATCTCTATTGATCCTATTAATTAAAATGTCACCACAAGTCGTAAATGAATACAGCACATTCTCTGAATAAAAGTATAAACATTATTTTACACCGCGGCAAATGACCTGTGATGAGAGGTCTGCTTTCAAATATAGAGCCAAAATATAATCACACATGCAATTTTAAATTTCAAAAATGAGATTTTTTTCCATTCTATGTTTAATATGCATAATGTTTCACTAAACAATGGCCACAAAGCAACGCCGTAGATGATTCAGGGAGAAGGGACTACAATGGGAGCCCTTTTTTGTGCATTCTCCCTGGCAACAACTAACGACAGTGATTTTAAACGCGGAACACATGAAGGCATGAATGAACACGGCACTTCCTGTTCGGCTCTTTGTGCATCGCTTATCGTTTCCGGAAAAGAGTCATCGACTGCTTGCGAAGGCGCCAGAAGTCCAAGTTCTGAAATTTTTTCGTAACTCATTCTATGTACTTTTAATTGATACGCTTAGACCAATGTTTTGACTGTATGAGTAATGGCGTTTCTATGTCCTTTTTATCTGGTCGAAACAACAACAACAAAATGAATTCCAACAATTTTGGTTTCAAACCAAGAAATAGCTTTGAAACGAATATAAGAAATTAATCTGAAGCCTTGTTTAAACAAGCCAGAGATGTTATCCAGAGTATTTTAAATATTCTATTGCAGTATAAATAACTAGTTTTTGTCATGTACCTTTAATGAATGATCAACTTGAAAATGTTCGACATGAATTGGGAATTCCTGCATAGTCGTGAAAGCGATTTTCAGACATCATTATGCTACCAGAATTTTGAAATAAATGCACCAATTACTCGAGTTATGAAGTATTAAACCCAATATTCTACAACCGGTTGACCCCGACACAAGGTACTGGGAAATACGAATTCGTGGCACTGAATGTCAAATGCACCCCCCCCCCAAAAAAAGAACGCAGACGATATGTAGAAAAAGTAATATAAAATCCTAAATAAACAACTTGGGAAGGAATGAAATGAAGAAACGAAAACAAACGGCTATTCAAGAAAGAAACAACCAAATTACAAACAGACAAAGACTTGCGCATCCATTGCTCATCTCACTCGAATCTACGATCCTATTAAAATTCCTATGCAAGGTCGCGGTTGAACCTGTAAGACGGATTTCCACGGAGTCCATAATTTGGTTCACGACAAGATGTGATGTCTACCGTTGAGTGTTGCATTTGGTTGATAGCAACCATTGTCAACCGCAGACTTATTTTAAGTGCACACGGCGTGCGTGAATGCGCGTCAATATGAGCGTCACGCTGCGTGCTCGGGAACCAGTTCCATGGAGTCCCACACACCTGACCATTCGTCGTCGGCAAGCGACTGCAGCAAGTTGAGGGCAACGCACTACGCGGGTGCCAGGTTTGACGGAAACGACTTCATGGATTTTATACAATTCTAGGTCTGGCACCTCTGAAATCAAACCATGGTCGACTTCCTCGACTTGTTTACTGATGACATGTCTTTGCCAAGTGTCCTGAATATTTACATATTAATGAGCCGCCACATGCGGGACGATGACTAATACTTAATTTACACATCATTTCAATCCTACGCAAATGATCTAGCCCATCGGTTTCCAGTGGATTATGCTGACTCACACAGTTTTTTATGCGAAAGAGAAAAATCGCTAATTTTTAGTTTCACTTTGGAAAAAGGCGAGTAAACATGCTTCATTAATTAGCTGTACTATTTGCGAACTCTAAGAACAGCTGATTATTAGCGTTATAATTAGGGGTATGTAACTAAGTAGTCGTAGTTTGTTAGTCTGGTATTCGAAGTGATTCACTTGCTATCCCTGAATGCTATTCGCCGGAGAGATGTTATGTTTTGGAATCAATTCTTCCGATTGTTGGTGCAGACACTTATAAAGGTACAGGAATTTAATTTAAACGAACACCGACTAGTAGCGATTGGAATAAGTGATTAATAACACGGTATGGTAAAAAATTATAATCAATATATTTTAATCTGCGAATAAG